ATGTAGGACAAATATAGAAAGCTTCCCACTACCCAGCTTCTTCTTCACATGTACCAAATGTCCTCTCTTTCCTTTTTGTAAGGAAGTTAAAACCAGTGTGCCGGAGTGTGAATATCGTGAGCCACATCTTTCAGCAACTGCCATGTGTGGCGCCAATCAGGCGAGGTACGTCCTCCTCAATCACGGTGCTTCGACTAATGCAAATGGTGGATGTGTCAACACGGCACTCCACTGGGCGGTACCTGTAGGCAACATGGGTTGTGCGCATCTCCTTCTGACGCATAGAATCCCACCACTATCACCAATGAAGTAGACATCACGCTTCTAATGCTTGCTACTTGCAATGCTACTGTATTCTCCTTTCCCCAACACCTAAACGCCGTTTCGCGTCACAAATCTGTGCCGTCACCCCACTCCTCTATTTGCAAGTAAGCTTTGAATTGCCTTGCAAAGGCTTGAACATCTTGCTTTGGCGCACTTTGATGGTGGATGTCTTGATGGGGTGTTTGGGCAGGGAATTATTAAACTCTGGCGTAATTTCCTTCAAGTAGACATGATCGGGGCACAGCTTCTTGCTGCCTCTCGATCTCCTCAGTACATTGATTAGAAGTCGTCTCCACCTAGCCATTTGAGGTGGCTATAAGTCAACAGTACGCCTCCTTTCTTCTCGAGGGGTGACTTTTGCGGCCATTAGTCTCAATGGGTAAATACCACTCACTGGAGCTAGGAAAAGACAAATTGTAAACCTGGGCACTGTTCTCTTAACTACAGGTCAATGATAGCTCCAATAGTGCTCAATGTCCCTGCTAAAGTTTATTAACTGAGACAACAAATTTTCACAAGCTGATTAGCATCTACTAATAACCCTGCTAATATTCCATGTGCTATCACCTACCAGATGCCATCATTTCTAGCTATCTTTTTTGCTTTGCAACTAACATAACTATAGTAAATAGAGGAAGTGGCGAGACGACCTAGCCTCTGGCCGGCGAATGAGGTTTCACGGCAGTCTGTGAAATCCGGTCCAAAGCTATGGCCTGCAGAGCATTGCAATCTTCGATTTCTTCACCATTTTCTATCTATAATTAGCTTCTTATCAAGCAGGTACCTGTGCATGCTGTGGTCACAGCATTCCATCTTACATAATATTGGCCAAAAACACCCTTGTTCAAAAGATCACATTGCCAATTGATGCACTAAAGCCATGCAGACATGTGTTTGCAAATTGGGATGTGAAAAGGCACTGTGAAGCGGTCGTCATATGTGTTACAGCATGGACACAGTACGAGTAGGGGGGAAAATGTTGGATGAGCCCACAAACGAAGGCTTGACCGACTGTTTAAAAAAGCATCAGCTTTGGAAATGGGACCCAGATAATAGATGGGATTTGTCCTTAAGCAAGGTCAATACCCATACGGTGCATTCGCATTACTGCTCTCAATGCCTTATTCCTTTCAACTTCATGCTACTTCCTTTTGATTCTTGCAGCTTTCTTATGCAACGTTTTTGACTGCCCCAATTGCCTACTTGAATTTTGTTTTTTCAATTAGGCTGTGAACATGTTTTTCGAAGGAATAACCAAGGATAAACAATTTCGGAGATGGAGATGTCGACGAGAAGCAGGCAGTCAGTAGTGATGAAGAGGAGTCTTCTGCGTCAAAGAAGGGTGAAGTAGAGGACTGTCCATCTACACTGTGGTGCAATATATGGCACAGATATGACTTGTCGCCCGACATCTCCAGGTAGAGAAGAGACACTTCACTTGAGGTGTCGTGGCGAATAATTTTTTGCATTAATACCTACTTTAACCGCAAGGTTTCAGTCATTGAGTCGTAGCTGCCTTCTAAAATAATCGGTTTTGTCCCTTGTTGTGCTCATGCGCGTGTATGAGTTGTCAGGGAGAAATGCGCAGTTATTTGTCGATTAAATGCATTTGTTGTCAGCGGTCAAGAATCGTCTGGAGGGACTCATAACGGATTTTTGGAAAACCTAATGCACCTATTTGTGAAAAGAGAAGAAAACAAGTGCAAATTTAGGCTCTTTCTCCGCG